TGCCAGTGCATGAGAATTTGAGCAGTTGCACAGCCACTAAAAAAAGCACAAATTTGCAGGATGAGGGATAAACTATGTTTTTATATGCAAGTGTAATGATGAGTGCCTTTGAGGTACCGATTGTTGAGATTCAAAATGAAAGTAAATAATCCAGTAAATATCAATTTACTGGATTCTAAAAGACCACGCAGGAACAAACAGGATCTCAGTGTAGAAGACAAGGCAAGAACAACATACACCAAACACCACACTCACAACTCGAACAACAACCCGACAAAAACTGAGTGAGACAGAGGTATATATAACCAGGCCACTAGGTGACACAAGTGAGACTAATGACAAAACCACAGTTGAGTCTGATCACACTATATCTTTTTTTATACATTTATTAGCAGAGGCAGCTATGGTAACATGCATGGTCCAGATCCATGAACAGCAAAATAAACAAACAAACACATTTTTAAATTGGTATTCCAACCTACAAATGAAAAATCTAGCCTCACCTTCACATCCCAGCTTCTCAAAAAATGTTTAGAAATGCCTTGAATCTGATGAAAAGACGAAAATCAATCAACTTAATTGCAGTAATTCTACCCTCAAGAGTGCTGTATGGTTCAGTGTTGCTCTTCACATCCCCACATGTATTAACATTATTGTCCACAGAGTTATTTGCAGTTTTGGATCAACGTTTAAGTGTACATCAAGTATTACTTTTCAAATAATATCCAATAGGCTGCATCAGAGGAGGAAGCAATTCAAGTTTTTTTTCTCTCCATTTTTCCGTAGATTCATATGCTGTGAAAAACCCAACACGGTTAACCTTTTTATGGAGATGGTTTTAATTGTGTAGAAGAGGGTTTTTATAAGTGGCACGGTGACATTTGTTTACTCGCCAGGCTGGAGTCTGCAGAGAATGCATTAATCATTCTAAAAGTACAGGGTAAACATGCGTGAACAAATATAGCATAGTAAGCAGGTATTTTTAAATACCATTGTGCTTTTAGCATTTTCTGCAGTAATTGGGCAATTATGCAATATGCTGTTCCGGAGAGTTTTGCGGTTGAGTGCGAAAAATGTACACATTTAGAGAAAGTTAATTTTAATTGTGCATGCTATTTCCAAGTTTGTATTGCAGGTGTATTGATTCTCACAAAACGTAGGTTTCAGGTAGAATTGGCTTATTACAGTTTTCTAAGGACTCTTACTGCCAAACACTGAGTGTGTCACTGGGCACCTGCCCATATAGACCACAGCTCTGAATGACATCACAGACATTGGTGAATAATACCACCTGACAGAGGTGCTGTATCATATACCAGGGTTAAGTGGGCAGATGGCCACTGGGATATTTGTCAATCATGCATTTATCTGCGACCACTGATGAAACACCTACGCAGAGTTCTTCTTGGCTGTCAGTGACATCACTTCTCAGAAGTGAACAGTATTGTGAGGATGAGCTCACAGGAGAGGTTTCAGCAGTGTCACATTTAGAGCACATTAAAGGGGACTTTCAGACTGCTCACTTGCAGACAGTGTGTTTGGCAGGCAGGCATATATAAGCTGAGGTTGTAGAATCTTTCCTCATTCGGCGGGAAGTCACACAGTCTATATTTTATGTTCCAAATTAAATGTAATTCTTTTTTCTGCCTGCCTCTGCCTATTTCCCTCGCTAACTATCTGTGTTTGTCTGAGTGAGAGGCCACGTGATGGGGCAGACAATAGTGAGGCACTCTCTGTGGTGTTTTGTGTGTTTTTTTTTTCCTCAGTAGGGGTGGGGGGTTTCACAGCATTCAAATCGTGAATAGGATCATTGAGTCGTACGTAATTTTGGGCCCTGATGCAGGGCAATCACTGGACAAGCCTTTCTGCTGACAAGTGTGTTTCCCCCTCCCCTCTTTTTCTACCTCCTCTTCTTTTTTTTTCAGCCCCAACCCCCAACTCCCCTCTGCTGCATCGGCATTTCTGCCCAGACTAGAGGCATCCATTGTGGAGACCACGATGACATGTCTGATCGGGCGTGGCGGCCACTATTTCTTTTGCACACACACCTCGAGGATCCTATAGATATAGATAAATTACAGCTGCCAGGTTTTAAGCTAAGTCACATTTTGGTGTTTTTTATTTTTTTCCGAACCTCCCAGCATCCAACTGATAAATGAATAGACACACGCTGGACAATCTCATTCATTATCATTTGAAACGCCTGTGCATGCTGAGAGTTTTTCCAGCATTTGCCATGGGGGTTGCCTTTTGAAAGGTCCCCGTGGCTAAATTTCAGACGTTTTTTAAAGAGTTAGATCTCTGCATAAAAAAGAGTTCTGGTCTTAAAATATCTCACCCAGGGACCGTTGGCATCAAGTGGACTGTCACACTCACATGGAAAAGTGCCAGCAGGACAGAAAATGGAAATATGGTCTGTAGACATGAGTTGCAAAGAGCAGCATGTGTGATGGATACTGTGGCCAGTCACTTCTATCCAAACATTAACTGCATCGCATTTTAAAAGCTGAAGGTCCATTGTTGGAAAATGGGAAACTGGAGAAAAAGAGGCTTTTACCTCAGAATGTTGGGGCTCGCCACACACTCGCTCTTACACACGAGCTGAAAACTTTTCTATTTACAGATGTGTTAGCAGCTAGTAACAATGCACTTTGTTTTTATTCAAAAGTTCCTATTATATTTTAAAAAGACACAATAAAAGCCTGATTTGCCCTGATATTAAACAACAAACCTGTCATTTTGGTTTGAAGTAACTGCAATACACACAATTACTGCAATCCACTTACTTTGGCTAAATGTACAGCCATAAGAAATTGTACACAGAGATCTAAGTACTTACAGGAGAAAACAAAGTTAAGCTTTTCAAAAAGAGGCGTTTTCTACCATGGTAAAAGTTGTTTGGATCCTCCACTCACTTTGTATTCTGCCGTGGTCTCAGTATCTGCTGACTACGGCTGACCATTGTGATTGTTTGAAGGCTTTGATTTTACTGGTGGCTGGCATGAAAGCGAGAGAGAAAGTGAAAAGGTCATTCGCCCGATGTGAGCCTCATTAGGATCAAAGACAAATATAACTAATTGGTAGCTGTAATTGAACAGGAACTTCCAGGGAAAGCCGACGTCAGGTGCATTCTGTAGTAGAAGAATAAAAAAAAAAAAACTTGACATCATCTACCATTATCATTTGAACTGCCGCCTCTTCTGAGCTGCTGTAATACTCCTTTTGTTGTGAGACGAAAAGCAATTCTCCCAGTAAAGACAAATTGCAGTGTGCGGCGATGCTGCCCTGTCTCGTCAGTGTTGTCTGTATTAGAATGCATCTCATGGTCCTGGCTGGAGATTTGTTCCCATTTGAGTTTTGATAAACCAGAACAAGTTCACATTTTCATTCATCCATGTGATGCTTTCGCCAATACCCAGTTTTACTGTTATTATTATTTGTACATATACGTTTGTAAAGGAAAGCAAATAATCCATTACAAAAATAATGACTGCAGTTCTAGCTCCAACCTCCTTTGATTTTCCTCCATCTCATATTCAAACACATGACTTCGCATAGAACACCTTTGCGGTAATCCAATTCTTCTGCTTTCAATTTCTATATAGTTTACTTTATGAAAAAGATTTGCCAGCTGGGGCCTGAAGTGCGGCCCTCAGTCACTGCTGTCACGGCTGGAGCCACGGTTGTGAAAATATTTACCCTGTCTTCTGTTACAAGCAGTGCGGAAATTGTTAAATTCACCCCTGTCATCAGCGAGAGATTTATTAGTGGAAGAGTGCGGTGCACTTTGGAAGAATTTATTGCAACGGTTCGGGTGATAATATTAAATTAGGTTTGGAGTAAATGTATGACTTCCTTTAGGCTCCAAACTGATCTACTACATCCTTCTCCCCCAAGCCTGGAGGAACTTGCTGCACTCAGAGTGCAGATGATACTCTGAAGACATCAGTGAGTCCCCAAGGTACCAGCACAAAGGAAGATTAGGCACCCTCCTTCAAGGCTTTTGTTAAGTAATTCCACATCTGCTTTAATAATTCAGAGCAGCACCAGCACAGCGCCCACACAAACAATATAGGGTAACGCTGTGATCTCTGTGGCCTGGAGGTATTTTTATCTTTCTCTTTGTGGTGTTTTGTGTGCTCTAAACATGAGGGGGGCCCTGCCACAGACGCACATCCATCTACACAAAAATGGATCACACAGCACACTTTCTAGGTGTTCGTGTGTGTGTGTCCATGTACCCGCAGGATGTATACATGTACCGTACAGTAGGATGTGCTGTACTGTCACTCACATGTAACATGAACTGCTCCTGTTCCTCTGCCACGGAGGCACCTGCGGGACAACGGGCCCCCCTTCCTTCCCCATGAGCCACCTGTCTGCATGCGTCTCTGTGTATTTTCCGTGTGATCGTGCTCATGAAGCCGACGTCAAATGCACTTCGGTCTCGAGAGGATTGTCACTCATCCTCAGAAGGTATCCCTGAACGTCACAGGGGACGATGCTGGCATGTTAAGGCCTTGGCGGAATATGAAGATGTCACTCATTAAAACTAAAACTAAATTAAAACACGTTCATATAGCTTATGCAGAACCCACAATCTATGTATATACTGCATTTATATATATATTTAGATCATCTGTGTAGTCTAATGCTCACATCAGACTTTTAAAACCATTATTTTGGTTTGAGGATTCTTCTTCAGAGCCTTTAAGGAGAACACTTCCCTTCTCCTTCAGGTTTTCCCTCTCTGACTCTCTCCTCCACTGCACCTGTTTTCAGCAATACCTTTGGGGCACAGCTTGTGGTGAATAATGCATGAGTGAGAAGGAGCATCAGAAAACCTTGTGGACTTTCTGTCTGTCTTCCACCCCCCTTTGTCTCAGTAGTATTTCTCTCACTCTCTCTTTGTCTCTCCCCTTCTTTCTTTTTCCTCTGTTAAAGTGATTTTTTTTCATCTTCTTTTTTAAGTTCAAGCCATTTGTCTTTGTCTTTTGCAGTGAGGTTTTTGGACTGTGGACGTGGTGGTCTGGTGCACTTTGAAAGCAGTCACCCTTCCGACTTCCGGATAGAGTCCGACGGAGTAGTTTATGCTGCCAAGAGTCTTAAGCAATCTACTCTGCCTGTGTCACCGCTGCTGATCAAGGCCACTGATTCTACAACGCAGGAGCAATGGGTCTCCCAAGTCAAACTGATGCCTCCTGCCTCCACCAGCTCACAGGTGATTCCACCGCAACACATTTTTACAATCTTGCTGTTGTGTGAGTGTGTGTGTGTGTGTGTGTGTGTGTTTGTTGATTGTCTGACTGATGTGAAAAGAAACAATGATCCATTCTTTCCCCCCGTATCAAATAACTCACGGTTATTAGGCACACAGCACATTCACAGATGACTAGTTCAGTAAATTGTAGCAGGTGTTCCGAGAGACTGGATGGATGCTTGCTAATTAAAACTTAATGTGTCAATTTACAAGGAGCACAAACATATACTCAACGCGGTCAGCGAGCAGTGAGAGCAGATGCAAAATAGTTTCTCGTAAAATGCATTTCAGCAAGCGAGATTACGGGGTTATTGGCTCGTCTTCCAAAAAAAAAGGTGGGCCACACCTTTTTCGGCATTTTGACGGGTAGCTCATACGTTAGCACTGCAGGTCGGCAAGGTTCGCAAGAAGTATGAAAAAAGACGAGGGCAAATTTTCTCCTTGTCGTCCTTGTATCAAGGAAACTTTTTGTAGTTTGTAAAGAACTTGTCTTTGCTGCAGTGAGAGTCAACTATTAGTCAACAAGAAGATTGTAAAGATTAGCTGCAATATGAGCAAAGTGGGTACTACACCTGCCTTACACACAGAATGTTCTGGGTCTGAACCCCCAGAGGAACCACGTACTCAAAAGACAAACACTGTACTGTAAATTTACCCATTTTGGGACCAATAAGGGAGTCCAACTTTGGACACATACTCAAACCACAACCACGAGTGAAATATTAAAACAAAAAAATGAAATACTTGTGTTTGTGTTTGTCTTATAAATCATTTACAGGTGGGGTAGTAAATTAAAGTGGCAGCAGATTTAGAAGACATCATCATACATCATTACTGCACGTGCAGTGATGTGAGGTGCCGAAATTTAACTCTGCCTGACACGGTTCTCTTTCATAGCTTTTCAAAGCACAGTGGTTAGCCACTGTCATTTAGCACAGGGACTCCTACAGGTATGTGATTCTAATGACACCATTAGTCACTATAATGCGTTTGTTACAGGCAAACTGGTAAACACACACATCACTAATTATTTTTTCCCCAGATTTTAAATAAACAAGTGTTACTCACGTCTAAGTGAATAACCGCCTGCGTCCGCGGAGACGTGGAATCTGCCCTTATTTGTTTGTAATGAACAATCTGAGGTTGACTTTCCCGTACCCCTCACGTTTATGAGGTCATAAGCGGTTATCTTCCCACCAGTACAATTATTGTCATGAATCACAATGCATCTTTTAATCACATCAGCGATTAATTTTTTTTTTATTAGTGCCACAAACGCTGCAGCCTTGGGGAAACATTTTAATCAGTGCCAACCAAACAATACCCTCATTAACATGTCAGCGTCCTCGACCTCTGTCTCCACCTTTATTAAATCCTCGGCCCGGCCGCTGTTCATGAGCTGAAAATGTTTCGGAATTTGGATGGGACACATCGATTAGGGAAAACACACACACACCGACCAACACACATTGATAATCCTTTCCACACCCTTACAAACACTCAGGCCATCACTCAGCCAAACACTCCTGTGAACTCTGAAGTAGACTCCAGACTCCAGAAGATAGAGGGGCGTGCAGAGAGTGTGGATGGGTGCAGACCTCCAGCACACCAGAGATAGATGGGAGTTGGGCCAAGCGAACCCAACACAGACATTCATCATTCCGCACACAGTTTGCAAATAATTACTGCTCTCAGCCAAGCCCATTTTAATAGGGTAATAGATATTTCTGAAGCATGCCCCCTTTGCTATCTGTCTGCCTGCCCCAACGCCTCTTTGCATCTTCAGTGTGTGAAAGAAGCATAATCGGATTTCAAACATGATTAGTGGAAGCACCCTGACAGCTCCACAGATGTGAGACGGCGTGGGGGGGGGGATTTGGAATATGGGTCAGGATATAAGGTGACAAAGTGGTAATTAATTTGTGTGTTTTGACAAAACACTTGGTAGTTCGTTCATTCCGCCTTTTTTTTTTTACAGCACAGCCAAATCTACACAACTATGTCATCGGTAACAATGAGGCAGATACAGCAGGGGACAACATACATCTCAGCAATCATTCACTGACATTGACAGATTTTAAACATTGCCCCCCTCCTCCTCCTCTTTTCTTTTTCTCTCCTGCCCCATTTTGTTCAAGGTTATTTAAACTTTCTCTGGCACTTTTTCAGTCTTCCTAGTCTCTGGAGCAGCACAGGCAATTTGAGCCATCTGTGTGTTTAGTGTCTAGCTTGCAGGTACCATCCTCCTTTGTTTCGAATCTCATTCATTACAGCTGAGGGAGGATGGCAGATCCATTATGTAAGCCGGTCTGTCTGTGTAGGTGCATTATATCAGCACATAAGAAGTAGCCTGACATTTAAGGCAAACCAGCGCCAACCACACCAAAGGCATATCATCACTTATTTTGGCCAAGATATTTTAAGCTACATAGAGGGTTGTAAAAGTACGACTTTTTGATTCAGCTGCTTACATTTAGAATAGACATCCAGTTGTATTAAAACTCCTTCTAAAGCTTCCCAAAAACACTAGTATATATCTTTTAACTACATCAATTTAAAATTTTCTGAACTTAAATGGCACACTATTCAAGCCAAGTGTTTTTATAGTACATTTTTTTCAGACCCGCTGGGTAAACATTATATGACATTAAAAAAAAAAAAACCTTCAGAGCCGCACAAGCAGGTCCCAGAAGACGTCAACATGCTGATGTTTAGCAAATACATCGTTTTTTCCTAACAGACAGTTCTCTAAGCATAAATGACATGACAGTCCATCCAAAAGTCATTAAAAGTTTTCACTCAGTTGGTTGGACACACTGGCCTCACCTTCCTAGAGCTGCGCCGCTAGTGTGGCTAAAAATACACATTGTCATATTTTATTACACAGATGTGATCACTTCCCAGAGCGTGGACCAAATCTATTTCTTTCCTATCCTTTCCGCAGGTCCAGGATGTCTCCGTCCCTCCAGTCATGTCCAAGGATTTGAAGGAAATAATGTTTCCATCACGGAACATGGACAGCCAGCTCAAACGCATGAAGAGAGACTGGGTCATCCCCCCAATTAATGTCCCAGAGAACTCACGAGGCCCATTTCCGCAAGAGCTAGTCCGGGTAACATACTCTCTCTCTCTCTCACTCACACACACACATATATAGGCATACACACACACACAATATGCCTTTCCTAGAAATGACAACCTCATAAGTCTCTGCTGACCTGCACAGATGGTCACAGACACAAGACTTATGTGTTCACTAGAGCACAAGATGTTTGTGACGATTTAAGCGGTTTTTATTTTTAGGTATTATCTATATGCCATTTTAGGTTAAGTCCTTCCCAGTGCAACTTAATATTTAAAACCTAACTGAAATCTCAAGTGATCACCGGTGCAATTATTCCGAGGTTGCCTGTTGAGATATTATAGCCCTTTTATCATGGCTGAAGGACACACATGGCTCGGTTAATCTAAAACAACTCTCTGGTCAGTGCTGCCTGTGGGTGGCTGACAAGACAAGACAAGAACAAGTGGAAGACAAGAACTTCATCTTATTTTAGCAAATGAAAGCGACTCCCTCACCGAGCGCCATCCACGTTAGAAGAGACGTCGCTGAGCTTTCGTAGATGATATCAGGATAAGGAAATATTCTTTGCTCAGCACGGATCTGGGACGTAGGCACTGAAGTTCTCAGCTTACATGGCAAACAGGATAGACGGCTCAGAAAGGCAGAACTTCAATAAGACATGGACATTATACACTCTTAGTTACACAGCAGCCTATTTTTAAAGCCAGCGATGAAATGAGAAGTCGATAAGTGGGTCAATCAACAGGAAATTGTGTGCGATTCTACTGAATAATTGAATAGTTAAGATTTGTTGAGGGTTTTTTTTTTATTCAAAATGAACGACGATGGTATCAATATTTTATTAGAGAATCTGCTTAGGTATTATATAAAAAAATTAACAAAAAAACTAGAAACTATGGCAATTATTTTTTATAGTTTTGCTGTTGTATATTTGTCATTTTTGTTTTGTTTTTTTACTAAATCAGCCCCTATGCTTTCTCTACATATTTTAGAAAGTCATTATATAAAGTAATTATGGTTGATTCTCTGTAGAGGTCTTAATTAAAATCTTTCCCACAAATCACTCACAGATTCGATCGGACCACGACAAAAACCGCTCCCTCAGATACAGTGTGACGGGCCCTGGTGCTGACCAGCCTCCCACTGGCATCTTTATCATCGACCCCATCTCTGGAGAGCTATCCGTCAACAAGCCCCTCGATAGAGAGCACATCTCCAACTTCCACGTAAGTCACACTTGGTCTTAAAAGAAAAAAAACTGCTGAAATGATTTTCAAGTATTTCTTTTTGTGCATTTTACCAAGATAAATGTGATTCTTTCACTGGGAAGTCTTTACATTCCTGCCAGTTGGCGTGTGCTCAAAGGTCACTGGGCCCTAAATGGCCTCCTCGGACCCAATAAACACCAGGGTCTCCGAGGAAATCTGACGTATTCGTCTGAGAATTCAAGTGATTTAGCGTGTTGCATTTGACGGTGTGTAAGTCTTTGGGTTTGGGCGACACATTTTATTTTTTTACAACCACAGCCGGAGCTGTTTGATTCATTTGTGGCTTTTTACTTACTCTGCTACGGCTTGCAAATTATAAGGCTTCATTTCTTTCCACCCATATATTTATATGCGTTAGTAGAAACTGTCCGACAGCCGTCGTGGCTGGAGCTGAAATAAAATAATGTAATGATTTAATCTCAGTGACTTAAAGCCACAGAAGAAACCCAGAGCAGAAACTAAGGAGCAGATCACTAAGAGCTCAATACTGTGTTTAGTTCCATTGTTGGGCTACGTGAGCTCGTCAACCGTTGCATTGATGAAACGCACATGACTTACAATACGACTAAGGTAAACACAGTCAGACAAAGGATGTGAGTGTTGGCAGCGTGTAGATGACAAACATGCTGTATTCGGTTTCGTATGTATTTATTCCAGAGCATGAGTCTTCTTTTTGGCTCCTCCTGTGTTTATGCAGGAGAAAATATGCACTCAAGTGCAATACGATTCAGCAAATCAGGGTTGTTTATGTGAAACACAGCTGAATCCGTGCTGACCCTGTCTTAGGCATCAGCGCTGAATAAAATAAGAGAAGATCTGTTTCCAGAGTTATGTGTTGTTTTCGACCGTGGCAGGTATTGAACTGAATCTTATCACTCTTTTTTCCCCTCACATACGTCAAAGACAGTGGTGAGGAGAAAGGGTTCATTATCCAGAAAGATTTTTTTCCCCATTTTTTCTCTTTGCTGCACATTCTGGGGTCAGTGAGCACAGAGGCCGCACGGCTGACGTTCAGTCAACATTTTGTCCGGTGTGAGGTTTGCACAGTTTATAGTCCATGCTTGAACGGCGCAGTACAGTCCAGATGTGTTTGTTTTCTCCCTCCAGCTGAGAGCTCATGCAGTGGACCTAAACGGCAACCAGGTAGAAAACCCTATTGACATTGTGATCAATGTCATCGACATGAACGACAACAGACCCGAGTTCACCCATCAGATCTGGAACGGCACTGTTCCAGAGGGATCCAAGCCAGGTAATGTACCGCACAGAGCCAAGCAGTGCGCCACAAACGATCGACTCTTGTCTGAGCCTCCACTTCCACATGTTAATGCAGTGTTAGTAGTTCAAACAGCACAACTGGGGTCAGCCTTTTTTGAGTGTTTTCTAACAGCTTTTAAAACAATGAGTGCCCTTGAATTACAGAGCTGTGAAAAACATAAAAAAAAGATGTGAATAAATGCAAATGAAATTTGATTTCAATGGAAATCAACAACACTTTGGTTCCTGCAGGAACATACGTCATGACAGTGACATCTGTAGACAAAGATGATCCCAAAACAGCTAATGGGATGCTGCGGTACAAGATCCTGTCTCAAACTCCAGAGAGCCCGACGTCAAATATGTTCACCATCAACAACAAAACAGGAGGCATCATCACGGTGGCTGCAGGCCTGGACAGAGAGGTGTGTTTTTCCTCTTTCTTCAGGTTCAATGTGTTTTGTTAATTTAAAAAAATGAAAAAAAAATCTTTGTTAATTTAAAAAAATGAAAAATGTAAAATGTATTAATGTTATTTTCAACTTGTACATAAATGCACTGAGCATCTTCGGTGTGGCAGAAAACAGCACGAGTATCTCTACTAATATTCAGACAGTCTGTGAACTAATGAGGCACAGTAAAAGTGAATTTTGCAAATTACAAACTAAATGAGAAGTAGAAATGGACTTGGCTCTTTCACACTTATTTACTCTTACAAGGAGGCTGCGCGCTTCGCTGAGCGGCCAAATCTTTCCCTTCCCTCATTCTGGCTTTTTTTTCTTCTCTAAGGCAGAAGGCTTGCCCCGCGTTTTCTTTCTTTTTGTGCCCCGTGCAGAAGCAGCTACCGTCTTTCGTTTAATTGGATGGTGTTGCTATTTGGGATAAATAAATAAATGCAAATGTAGCAAGCAAGCTGCAGCCAGTTGGTGCAATTCTGCTGAGGCCAATCTGGCTGGGTGGACGTTCAATCACTTCCACCCTGGGGCTGCCGTTTTATGTCTGCCAGTTGCAACCAGCGCCACCATGAAAGTAATTTACCCGGCTCTCATTACCTAGCTCTGGTCCGTCACCTGAGTGGCTTTTAATGTGAAAAAGAGTCATTCGTTTGCCTTATTGTAGTGTTCATAGCAGTCGTGTCATTTTCACAAATCCACTCAGAAACTGCCATTCTCTATAACTGTAATCTGTCTTGTGCAAAAGCCCTTTGTAGGTCGTGATGGATAATAACTTTAGATTTGTATTGTTTTAGTCCAGGACCTTATTCCTTTGCACAGATATAATGGCTTTAAAGAGGGCGACTGTAAATGTTTATAGAAGTTGGTGTTTTGAAGTTGTATATTGTGGTGGCTTTACTATGAATAGAGTATAATTTTTATTGCTGTTTTTTTCTCCTTCTTCATTAACAGAAAGTCCCCCAGTACACACTGATCATCCAGGCCACTGACATGGAGGGCAACCCCATGTACGGCCTCTCCAACACAGCCACTGCTGTCATCAGAATCACTGACGTCAACGACAATCCACCAGAGTTCACTGCAGAGACGGTAAGAAAAAAAACCTGATATCTGAGACAACAGCAGGACAGGAATCTTAGCAAAGGAAACCCCCCCCCGCCTCCCTCCTTCTCCACTCTAATGTGGATATATGCAGTCAGCCATACACTGTGTTCACTTAACCTAGTTCTGCTTGGCCCAGCATTTCCAAAGCCATGCACATACACAAGTAGCCGCGTGAACAGTGTATCTTCCTCCCAACGTTGACACATGCAATTGCACGGATGTCGACGGAGTGAAAGAGGCACTTACAGTGTTTGTGAATCACTAAAATTTGTATCGCCGCTCTCGCGCGTTCGGGGGAGGACAGGGGATGAGATGGCCATGACGACATGATAACTTACCTTAGATGTCTGTTTACTCCAGATTGGCCCTGCTGTGCTGTGTAAGGCAAAGCCTGCAGTGTTTTCTGCTGCCACAGCAGCATCACTAACAGCTCACTGCTCTGTTCTTCATGGTTTATTCATGCAGTTTTTTGGTGAGGTGCCTGAAAACCGTGTGAATGTCATCGTGGCCAACCTGTCGGTGACTGACAAGGACCAGCCCAACACACCGGCCTGGAATGCGGTCTACAAAATCACCGGCGGCGACCCCACCGGCAGGTTCTCCGTGCCCACTGATCCAACCACTAACGAGGGCCTGGTGACGGTCGTCAAGGTGAGGCCTCCTCCACTAACTCCACTGCTCTAATCCTCTAGAGCCGCATAAAACCTTGTATGGCATACTGAGACAGCGAGTGAGAGACAGAGAGAGTGGTTTGTGGATGGTTGGTTCTACAATATATTCTGTCAGGGAGGTTATTTTTCATCAAGGATATATATTTTTTTTACATTCCAATGGTTTTCATAGGTCATTGCAAGGGCTCCCGGTCAATAAAGAATCTTTTTTTTAGGTCACTTGCATAAAAGTTCATTCTAAAGGTTTGTAGTATAAAATATTATGTTGCTCATTTAGAATTTATCATGAATTCACATCTCGAGGTATGTGTCAGTATACACTCTTTAATTTGACGTCTGTCTGAACCAGAATTATGTTTATTATTATATAACACACACAAATCCCACAGCAGCAGAGTGGCAGGGTAAAAGTTCACATTCAGTGGGTTTTTGGGGGGTAGGTAAACAAGCCTTTCCGTTGCTATTGCAGCTATAACTGCAAGCTCCAACAGAGGGCACTTAAAGTGCAGCTCATTTTTCATATTCCCCGTTGTCCCCAGTAAAAGACCCTACCTACTAATTTGTTAGCAGGACAGCTAAACTGTCCTCCCAGGCAGACAAATGGAACAGTGAAATGTCTGAAGAGTCTCGTATTATTTTGTGTCCAGGAGTCCACGGTGTAAAATACACCTTTGCTAGCCACTGGGACGTTCCACTAAATTTGTGCTGCTAACTGAAGCTAAACAATTCTCCCAGTGCCATATATTAGTTTCAACAAATACTCAATGTACTCCAAATACACACTGCTTGCCAAAAATACGATTTTCCAGCAGCTATTAATTCCTCTTTATTTATTCCAGCACTGAGCTTCAGAAGAAAACTTGATCAGCAGTGTGGAAAAAGGCAATTACTTAGAAAATAACAAGGTTTAGCTGCAAGAGAGACTTTGTTTTTGTGTTTGGGGATTTCAGACACATAACTTATTAGACCTTTAAACGTCTTCAAATATCCAACATGACATTTGTCCTGATTTTTTTTAAGTGAACCCTGTCTCTCACTAACCTTTGTCTCTCACTGACTGTAAATTGATAGAATATTAATCCCCCGGTCGTGCAAACGGAGCTACTAGAATAACATCTTTAGCAGGAGAAAGGTTAAGCTCCCCGTTCTTTGTGAGGACGTGTTGAAAATGTGCCTGCATTTTGATGCGTGTTTCACTTCACGCGCCCTTCTCTGCTGTCTTCCAGCCTATTGACTATGAAATCAGTCGGACATATGTGCTGACAGTGGAGGCGAGGAACGAGGTCCCCCTGGCCAGAGGCATTCACCCTCCTCGTCAGTCCACTGCCACTGTCTCCATCAGAGTGATCGATGTCAACGAGAGCCCCTACTTTGAGCCCAACCCCAAACTCATTAAACTGGAGGAGGGAATGTTGCCTGAGTCAACACTGACCACCTTCACTGCACAGGACCCGGATCGTTTCATGCAGCAAAGCATCAGGTAAAAAAATAGAAAATAAGAAAAATCAGAGCTCTGTGAATCTAAAAAAAAAACATATATAAATAATTTAGATTTGGAATTTAATTATTCCTCTTTATTCCCCATTTTGAATAAATAATAATAAGCAGTAGCTATGGAGGATCCATACAACACTATAACACACACCATGGCCTGATAGAAAGTCTGTCTCCGTCCAATATATTTTATCAAGCCCGATCCTTTTCATCACACATCTCGCCTCAGAGCGTGTTTGGCCGTGGATGTGCTCGTTGGCCTGAGAACATGAGGAAATAAGCTCGCTTTGTTGTTCTATCATTTGTCCTACAAACACTTTTGAACAAATGATGACGGCAAATATATTCTGTGCCCACTGGAGCACTGTTCTAGAAAAGCTTTTCAAAGTTTTAGAACGTGGAAAATTATAGATCCATTTGATCCCTAACATTTTGTGTAACTGGACATTCCGCCTTGACTTAAGAAGACTGTGAATTAACGCGTCATCATATATGTTCTTGTTTTTCCACCTCAGATACTCCCGGCTCTCAGATCCCGCAAACTGGTTAAAGATCGATCCAAGCACCGGTCGCATCACAACGATTGCCGTTTTGGACCGGGAGTCTCCGTATGTGAAGAACAGCCTGTACAATGCCACGTTTCTGGCGACCGACAGTGGTATGTGATCATTCAATTGCTTCTTCTCTCATCAAAAAAAACACCTTGTGAAAACTGCAACTGCTGCAATGCCTCGGTTACATGGCATGTGTTTCAGCCAGGCAGACGCACACTGCATTCCACGCCATTATTGTTAGAGCATCCAGGGAGAGGAAAAAAAAGCCTGGTGGATGTCTAATTCAGCCTACCTCTCAAAGGTCATTGACTTTGGTTTGCGATGCTTTTCTTCTGAATCCAGGGAAATCTACATCAGTTAAGCCACAAAGACACCCTCCATTCTTGAAGGTCAACCTTTTTACCAGCAGTTCGGCCCGTCTGGAAATCTCACCACCTTAGGTGAAGGTTAATGTGCGAGTGATCCAAGAACCATCACCCAGCATGTGGATATATTCACCTCCTTCCCTGCACAGGCGGGATTTACCTCTGTTCAGGTTTACCCTGTTCTCCGGAGCATAGCTGAGGCCAATAGGCTTAAAAAACTGCACCACTAAAGAGGTTTCTCAGAATTAATGGGTCAGGATTGGATGACTAGCTCCTTTGAGCGTGGCCTGAATGGTAAAAAAGCCTCTTAGCTGAGTGAAACTATAGAGGAGCCAGAGAGGAGCGACAGTGGGCTCTTTTTGTCTGCCTTAGTATTCCCATCCTGCGTCCTTTGCCAGGGAGACGTTGTTTAGCCACACGTGCGCACACACACAAGCTGCCCAAATGTTCTTCCTCTTTCTGACTACATTATATAGATTAATTAAGACTCATAAAAAATTAGGCAGCGTGAGGAATATACTCCCAACTAAGAAGAACATAAATAAAAAGTATGTTTTTGTCGGTCCACACAGGTATTCCTCCCGCGTCCGGCACTGGCACTCTTCAGATTTTCCTTCTTGATATCAACGACAACGCTCCCAAAGTGTTCCCCCAGGAGACAGAGATATGTCAGAAACCGGAGCCAAATGCCATCAATATCACTGCACTTGATGAAGACCTGAACCCAAACGCTGGGCCATTCGCCTTCGAGTTGGCGCACAAACCATCAGACGTTCGGAGGAACTGGACAATTACAAGGATCAGCGGTGAGGCACACGACACAACTGTCTATTTAGCTTTACAATTTCTGGAATTTACACTGTTCACACATGGCTACTAGTGTCTTCTTTTTTTTACATCAAACACTATTTTTTATGTGTCTTCTTTTTTTTTTTACATCAAACACTATTTTTTATATCCCATTAAATTTGTTAGTATTTAAATAATTCAAACTGAACTGCAGCCGCTGCAGAATGCCTGTGTATTAACTACAGCCATATGCCTGTCTGTAATTAATTCGCACAACAATTAAAATATTGCCAAGGGGTCAGGGAGAGCTGAGAACTGCAGTACAATTACATGTTAACCCTTAGAAGAACCCATTAATTGTTTATGCTAATTTAAAGCCGACATTCAGGAGAGGAACTCATTTGCGTGCCAGACAGCGTGAGTGGAAATGCCGTGAGTCTGTGTGTATCTTAATCAGATTATGACATCGGGATCATGCAGCTGGGAATTTAGCATTAGCAGCATTATGAAATCACATTCAGCACATATAGATCATAAGCACAAAATCTAAATCCTGCCTATACGTGGGATTCAATACGCTAAAGCAAAAGAAAAACAGGTGGGAATTCATGCCTTACATTTTCTATTGTGTAATTCTATTATAAACAGGGTTTGATACAAACAGCCATGCAGATATCTGACTGTAATCCACTGTGGATCTGCTGACGATACGTGATGTTTCATACAGCATCACAGTAACTCTGTCTCCAACCATCAGTCACTCAGTGGATGCTCTTCTTTTTTCTTTTTTTTTTTCATATTTTAGGTGACTACGCTCAGCTCAGCCTCAGAATCGGTTTCCTTGAAAGTGGCATTTATGAGATTCCAATCATAATCACTGACTCGGGCAACCTGCCCATGTCCAGCACCTCGTACCTGAAGGTCAAAGTGTGCCAGTGTGACATCAACGGAGACTGCACCGACCAGCAGCAGATCATGGCTGCCGGTCTGGGCACGGGGGCCATCATATCCATCCTCCTCTGTATCATCATCCTCCTCAGTGAGTGTCCTACGGTTACTAAGAAAAACCACTCCACTGCAGTAGTATGACCACCAGCGAAGCTAAGATGCTGTGTTTCACTAACACGGGTTCTCTCTGTGTGTGTGCGTCCGTCAGTCCTCGTGCTGCTGTTTGTTGTGTGGATGAAGCGTCGTGACAAAGAGCGCCAGGCCAAGCAGCTCCTTATTGATCCAGAGGACGATGTGCGAGATAACATTCTCAAGTATGACGAGGAAGGCGGAGGAGAGGAGGATCAGGTGAGGATCACGGAAACACACTGTCTAAACAACTCATTTTCCTACGCATTTTAAATGCATTCTTTCTTTCTATTTTTTTATTTCAAACAAAAGAATAGTATCTGTCTGTCTCTGACTGAAAGACCTTTGTTTCCGCTGACATTTTTGACCCGTTTTACAGTTACATAGAGAGAGATGCCACGTACCCTTGAGCACTCATCAGGATGTAGTTACATATCAATCAAAAACTGACAGCAGCTGTGTGGGTGTTTGCTTTTTTTTCTTTCTTTTTTCACTTCCACAGGCCACTGTCAATCATAGAGATCATACTACCTCCATCCTGGTGAAGTAGAAGAGCTTGGTTTTTAAATGATAAATTCCTGTAAAATAATGTTGGAAAATGACCAACACGTGAATATTTACATGCATGAATTCAATTCAGTTAAGAATTTAAACCCGCTAAAGTTCAGTCTTTGAATGATTTTCTCCCTGGATATGTTTTCTACTTGCGTTCACTTAGTGTTGGTATATATATATATCAGGTCACCTCTGTGCAACACCGTAGCTGTTTGTTTATATTTGAAACGACATAAGGACATCAAGAATCCCTGTGTATTTTCAGCAGAAATATAACTGTTTTTTTGCTGAATTTCATCCCTTCCACTGTTTCTTATGCTGCTCTAAACCTCACCTCATGATTGCTCACAAAGCAGACTCAGACAGATTTTAATGCTAATTGGATGCAGCTAGCAATCGAAAACATAAATCAATGAGGGAAATACATTTTTATCAGGAAAAAAATGTCCCCAGCACAGATACAGTCAAATACAGGCATTATTATCGGCATCGATAATGTCACTTCTGACTATCCCAGTGTAATGATTGGGCTCACACAGACACAAATTCAATTGTCCCAGTGACCCTGTATTAGCATAACAGTCATTTTTAACACCGAGACAGTTAAACAAGAAATGGATTATTTTCTTGCTGTTGGTCAAAATGCTCCAGTGACTGAGGAACAGCAGGAGACCCTGGTCTGACCCAGCACAACGCCAAATTGGTCTGGCAGACTGATGTCATGTGGTAACAGACGTCTGTTATGGCTCAATAAGGAAGCTCTGTCTAAGGTAGCAGTGTCTAAGGTAGCAGTGTGACTGAACAGTCATTATGAAGATGCAGGTGATTAAACAAGAAGGCATGCACTGGTGCGTTCACCACGGTGCATTTGTGTTCAGGTTGCGTCAACTCGTACGGTCCAGTTCGAATGCGAATTCACAAATGAACAGAACATGTACTGAGGAAAGAGAAGAGTTTGTTTTGACTGGCATAGAGGAACGCAGGAGGAAATGGTTGGAATAGTCAGAGTTTGGTTAAAAAATAATAGACCTAACTTTTTCCAGCGATATGGCTTTTATAATTCCCTCCTGTGTTCTCCCTATCTCCCACAGGGGAGGAAATTGCTTGTTCATTTTGCCATCTCAGAGTATGTGTGATTTTAGTCGCTGCTGCTCTTGGTTCGTGAAGCACTTGTTTTATCAACACCGTAACAACCTGTCACGCCAATCACACAGTAACTAAATAAAAAGCTAATTAAGGCATCAGTGCGGTTAACAGGTTAACAGGTTAACAGGCGTCGAAGAAGAGATCGTCGGTTTCTTCAACCACTGAAACAATTTGGCCCAAGTAACTCTTTAAACTGCTCGGATTTATAGGCAATAAGACACCAGGCCTGTATATGAAGATAATACAACCGCCTGATGTATTTGTCACTAGAGATAAAGGGGAACTTTAATTAGACTGAGGAACGGCAGTATTAAAGAAGGGAAGTGAGATGTGAGATCAAAGCTGCGTTGGCTCCACTCTATCAGGGCCAGAAGAGAAGAGATCAGATTGAACAGGGTAGCTGCAGAATATTGGATGGACCAAAATCAGTATGATGATTTATAACAACAGCACAGTTGGGTTTAAGTAGATTTAAGGAGCTCAGTCAACGGTAATCCAACAGAATCATAGACTGGGGCTACCAGATACAAATAATAATTTGGTTTCATTTATACGTTGTCTTGTTTGACTATAAGGAATCAAACCAGAAACCTCCTGCTTGGCAGGCAGAAAGACTACCACTGCTTCACCCGATCACTTTAAATAATGCATATCCCCTTATCAAATTTGAAAAAGCACCTGTAGAAAAAGAAAGATAAACTGAATAGTCATTAGGTTACGGCATAAACAGATTTTAAAATGGCATTTATTTCATAAACCTTTAATTCTTCGGCACTGTGTGGCACTTAATTCCACCTTGTCCTGTTTTTGTTGTTGTAAAGAATTCAGTGCTTCAGCCTAATTATCCATTGTTGGAAACTGCTCTTGTCTCTTTCATAATTCTAATACCTGTAGGCTTTTGTAAACACGCTTTTGCAAATCGCTGCTGATGTTTAAGCATAATTTACATCCAGTTTAATCTCAGCGCCTAATCAAATCACGGGAATTAGATCGGGCTTGTAATGTAATATCTATGCAATGAAATATGATTAGACATAAGAATATGAATTGAAAAATAATATATTTCACTGGTACACAAACTCAGCTCTTTCTTAGAAGGCTAAAAAAAAAAAAACAGCAATGCACACCCTCGTGCTTAAATGTGGGTCATTATAAGTGCCTGAGGCAGCCATTTCACCAGGCCAGCATATATGGGAGGAGTCAATTCCCCAAATGAGACCAGTATGTCATTTGACCTTCCTGCTTGGTCCGACCATTATGCGGTTCTGTTGCAAATTCCCGTCACCAAGTCCTGACCCTTCTGAAGTGTGACCTAATAGAGAGAGAGGGGGCAGGGAGGGGGGGTCAAACAGGAGTCAGACCGAAATTGACCTAAAATGATGTATGGCTCATTGCATGATGTGTGATGACCACTGTTCTTCAGCGAGGCACGGCCTGGGGCTGATTTTCATTCCCCATGAAATCAAATTACACATGAATAACCCATGTGTTTGCTTTAGATTTGACGATACTTGGCCGGGCGTGGAGGCCACACTGGCTAAGCTGTGTTTCTGCAGGATTTTTTATATATATCGTCGGTTTTTTTTCTACTATTTTCTTCCCTGACGTTTCAACATATGTGTGTCTGTGTGTGTAGGTGCATGTGCAACTGAGCAGAGACGATTTTGAAGGGGGATATTAGAGATGGATGGATTACTGAAAATCTTTTAAAGAGGAACAATCCATCATGCATGCTTATTAGGCACACACCCTGATTCTCTAATGGCACTTTCTCTATCATATCTGCTGTCACCGTGATACCATCCAGACATTCGGCTCCGCTCAGCATGGCTCCACCTCTCTCTCTCTTTCTCTCTCTCTCTCTCCACTACCTTTTTCTCTCTCTCTCTCTTTCCTTCCACCCTCCCCCTCTTCATGACTTTGCACAAACTGCGCGCCATTCAGGTTGCCTTGGTAATGTTAATAGGATTAGCAATGGCTTATGCATATCCACCGTCCCGTGTCTGGGCATTGATTAGAGTCAAACAGTCGTCTGGACATCCTTACTGCTGCACATTGTACAAATACATTACAGTGTGTGTTGGGGCTCCCAGTGTGGCCCCCCACCCCATCATCATGGCTGACTTTATAACCAGTCAATCTGATTGTCCGTGGGACAAATGACTCCCCTCATGTTCCTTCTGCTCTCCTTCCCTCGTCCTAAACATCAATAATGTTCCCCTCCACTTCTGATGCACTCGTCTTGCGTATGCACCTCTATGAATAACTGGGTCTGGTTCGGCGTCCTGTCACACCGCTCCGCTAACTCCCATTGGTTTATGTGTTTCTCAGGATTATGACCTCAGTCAGCTGCAGCAGCCGGACACGATAGAGCCCGATGCAATTAAGCCGGTTGGAATCCGCCGCCTGGATGAGAGACCCCTCCACCCAGAGCCACAGTATCCAATGAGGTCAGCAGCACCCCACCCTGGAGACATCGGAGACTTCATCAACGAGGTAAGAAAAAAAAACAACGCCAGCCAGTCGTCAACACTAACTGAAAATTGAAATCGAATCCCAGGAGCTGGAGAAATAACTGAAACGAGCGGATCAGTGTTGTCACAAAGCCTGAATTTCATTTTCAAGCTGAATGACTTTCTCATAATAAATTTGTATCTAAATAAACAATTCATCTGTGTCAACGAGGAAAAAAAGCACGGTCTTTGTAATGAAGGGAAAGACTAAATCAGATTAATTTTATTTGAATTTTTTTTCTCATCTTTTGCCGGCAGAAAGTTTTATCATCCCACAGGCGGTATAATCACTCAGACGTGTGCAAAGCCCGAAATGTGGATGACGATAATTCACTTAGATATTATTGTTTTTTTTTTCCCTCCTCACATTCTGCCAAAGTAGAGTTATAGATGTGTCAGCACAGAAATGGGAGATGAGAGAGGCAACGCACGGCCATTCTGTGGCGTGGCACTTTTCAGAGTGCCCTCGTCTGCCCGAGGCAATCGTTGACTCCGGCATGAAGGGAGAATGTAAAATGAAAAGAGCAGTCATGTATTTTTCACATGCTCCAACAGACACGAGTTTCACAGCATCACAAATAAAGTTCTCTCGTAGTTTTCAGACTCCATTTTTTAAGATTAAAACTCACTCCTCAGTTCTGCACACGGACGGTTTCTCAGATCATTTAAACCGGGAAGAACTCATCTTTATTTCACCGTGTGTCGGAAATACTCTTAACACACTTGACCTAGCTGCACATATGAAGTGAAATATAATGTTTTTGCACCACCCTCTAAAGAGCCATTTAAGGATGCGCACCATTTTTCTGCAGAAATGCGGTTTAAATATTCTCGCTGGGCCTCGGGGATTTATCAAGTCTGGGCATCCTGACCTAGAAACACTCACTGAAACCAGGCGATGTTGATCCGTTTTTAGTCCCAGATTTGACTGTCGCTAAAGCTCAGTCATGGTAGCTCCGCCGCTCGCACACAGCTGGGATCTGACCTTATAAAGACGAGTTGCCATGGGAAAGGGAAGAAAGGGAGGAGTGGTGGGATCCAATCTTTACCCTTAAAATGTACAGATTCCCCTGGTGTTTATGGCTGTAAATTAATTAAGATGTCGGGGAAAAATAGAGCAGTTCTATACAGACATGTACTGCACAATATTAGGCTGTTCAAACACTTTGAACTGCATATGATGACCCTTGGGGTGATGACCCTTTAGAAAAAAGAAATTACCACACAGGTCATCCTGGTAAAGACAAAAGCTTTGAACCAGCAATCCTCTAATCACGAGCCTAATTCAGTAACTACTAGGCCACCGACTGTGGCATCATTAGCTCTGGAGTGATCACAGAAAGAAAAGTGGAACAGCAGGCACAGCACTGGACTGGATATAGTTTTAGGTCTAGTTTAGGATAGTTACGAAGCAAATCAGAAGCAACAGGCAGGAAGTAAGGGGACGTCAGCATTGCTGGGTGTTGTATTTACACTAAGGCAGACTAAAGCTGTAGCAGCTGTAAATGCATGTGCAGTGTAGTCTCTTAACCTCCAGGGAAATCCTGAAAACCTTATGACACGGTAATAGTGCTTCACAGTTTAAGCGACACTTGATTTACTTTACTTTAATCTGTCTATTATTATTATTTTAAACATCATGAAAGACACCGACTGCGTTCTCACAGAGGAGGGGGCGAGGGCCAAGATAAATGACACTACTACCAAACAGACACAACCTCTGACGGTCACAGGTGGATCCAACTGCACAAAAGGAGAAGTGATCATATTTTCTGTTTTGCATAGTCCCTTTCTGTCAGTGCTGGTGAGACCGACAGTGAGCGGGAGCAGCAGCAGGTTGGATTACACGTCTCTTTTGTTAGATGCAGGACAGAGTAACTCCACACAGCTCAGGCTGAGAGTTTTGGGAGAATCGAGCTTCACGGCTGAGTCATTTATAATAAAATCACCAGGCTGAGCTCCTGTGATTGACCGCCCTCATGAATCTCCGTGTGCTTCTGGTCGTAGATACAGCAACTACAGCTGCAGAGTGATTATGGCTGGGATTGTCAGGAACAATCCATCTGTCGTATTTTCCACCAAGTTATCAACGCCACAGCCCTGAGCGCAGACTTACAAAAGCTAACAAGTGTAAAATAATCACTATGCGCCCAGTCAATTTAATACAATAGATCTTTTATTATTTTTTTACATTTTTTATAGCATTTGAGCGCTGTAATGGCAGCAGGGAGGAATTGATAAATCTTTGACAAGTTCTCCGTGAGCTCAAGTCTCATTTCTCTTGTGCCGCGTCGCTTTACTTCTTTTAAATCATTTGTTTGAGCTACGAGGGAGAAACCAGACAGGGATCCAAAAGTGGTTCACGGCCAAAACGCAGCTCTAACTCCTAGAGTACTAATCCACGGGGGTCTCCTGAGTCCCGTTACGGAAATGACGCTGGGGATCAATAACCATCCATAATGATGGCTCATGACGCCATGGGGATTTCTGGGAATGTTGAACACAAACTTCAAGAATGCCAGGGATATTAGGAGAAGACATGGAGACATATTAATGACAAACACACGCTCCTATACTTTTGTTTTCTTTGCTGGAAGTCTAATAAAATATACATCAATTACAAAACGTGCGGTTCCTATGACACCTTTTGGCTACTACTAGCATGTTAGTATGTTAAAGGAGGCAAAAAAAAGGGAGACAGCCACAAAGGCTCAGGAGTACTTTAGAAAAATCACTGAACCCATACTTCAGCTCGTTTTGTGGGAAATGGGCATCCAATTCTACCTGCCAAACTTAAAACACACCATCAACAAAAGGTACAACAGGCAGAATCCGTGATGGGACAGCAGCGCATCAGTATTCACCACACACTGGACCCGTTTATAAGGTTTATGCTGCTTATAAATAAACGTCCTTTTCTTGTGGGAAAAGAAATCTTTGCTTCGAAATTCCATTTTGTTTTTTCCAGGGTGTTGAAAACAAAGCATTTCTGGTCTGAAGTCCAGAACATTTCTCTACAAGAAACGTGCAGTAATCAACGTAGTCTAAGTATTTTTGCAAAGAGATTTAATAGCGTCACCCAACTACAGATTCAAGTTTTTTCTCTAAAATAAGATTTGACAAGTATTGAAGATTTCACCATCGGGATTACAGATGTCACACTATTGATCCAGGAGTTGTTTTATTTGTGCACAGACCTTGACGGGTGGTGGTTGGCAGGCTCACACAGGAGTTCAGTGGGGCGAAGGTGGATGGTTTCAATTTGAAGCTCCAGCTCACACTTGTTCTTGGCTCGCAACCAAAAACATTGAAATCCTTCATTTCAGAAACATCAGGAGAATTCTTCACTCTCTCAGTTTTAGCATAGATTAACGCAGTGTGTCCTAAAGTGGGGGGCAGGGACCCCCTAAGGGGCACAAAGCTATTGCACAGTCAACGCAGCAAGTGAAATTAATTTTGATTTTAATATTTTCTTCATTCGTGCCACAGTGGGGAAACTTACACTAATTTGCAATTTTATTTCCTCTGTTCAGTGAGAATATCTGGTGTAGAAATTACACATTTTATAATGAAGTTCAAAAGCATTAGCCGTGAACACATTTTTTTTATTGTACTCCTTGGTTAAAACACTGTTTTACGTCTGTGTGCACAGGGACTCAAGGCAGCAGACAACGACCCCACCGCTCCACCCTACGACTCCTTGCTAGTGTTCGACTACGAGGGCAGCGGCTCCACCGCCGGCTCCCTCAGTTCCCTCAATTCCTCGAGCAGCGGAGGGGACCAGGACTACGACTACCTCAACGACTGGGGCCCTCGCTTTAGAAAACTGGCAGACATGTACGGAGGGAGCGACGACTAAGACACACAGCCAGTCTTTGAAGGATAAAAAAACAAAGTGAAGAATGATGATTGACCTGTCGAGGGACATCTGCAGCTTCTGATATTCCCCTCCCCTCAACCCACCCCTTCTTCCCCCTGAGAACGTGATGGAACTGAGAAAAGTAACACAAAATAAAAACATTGATCCAGAAAATTTTTCAAAATCAACCAACCTAGGCTTATTGTTGTAGTCTACGCATACATATGCTTGTTGACAGCTTAGGCATAGGCTGTGGTCCTGTAACAGAGGAAGTGGGAGGGAAGACCCGGTGGACTGTCACCACTCTGATTGTCGGTAGTGAATGCGCTCAGTTACACTTGAATTTCACAGTACAGAAGCACTGGGATATAATGTGCCTTTTTGTACATTTTTTTTATCTGAAAGATGAGTTTTATGTTCAAGGCTTTAATGGTACTGACATTTGGAGTGATTTCAAACAGTATGTTACACTCTGGTATGCTTCGTTATGCTCACTTTTTTTTTTATCTATTTCTTTGGTTCCACAATGCTCCTGCTTCTTATTTAAGTCAACTACAAAGACAATGAAGGATCGTCTTTTAGCTTGGATTGAAGGAAAAATAATTACAAGCAGCACTGTACAGAACGCTAGACTTTTTCACTAAGAATTAAAATGATGCAGCTGGTTGCAAATAAAGGGAGTTTTGAATTATACTTTGGTAGCATTTTTTTTTTTTCATTTTTTGAAGTGGTGTAGTATTTTACAAAAGTGACAAAAAAAACTGTTTTGGTCTAATCTCTGTACACTTCATTTGCCTTAGTCATCATTTGATATCTTTAAGTTTCACTTCACTGTAAAAAGTTGTGTGTACATAATGTTTTTGTTATTTCTTTTTCTTTTGATGTAGTATATGAAGAAGTGCAAAAAGATCCAAACTTGTAAATGTTTAATTTGAACAACAAATCCAAGTTTTTTGCATGTTTTTATCAACACAAACTGTTGTTTCCCCAAATTTATTTACAAAGTTAAAAAAAAAAAAAAATCTGGTTGACATAAATGTGTAGAAGTTAAGGACATTTTTTTTGTATAAAACGTGAGGAAAAAACGTGAAAAAAATTGAAAAGTAGTGATATTGTCAGCACAACTGTTGAATTTGTACCAAATAAGGGGGAGGAGGGGTGATGTGCTAGGTATTAATAAATGACTCAGCTTTACGACTGGAAAAGGTTTTTGACCGACGCCTTGTGGATAACCCTGTGTACTGGAAACAAATTATACATCTCTGACCCCACAATAAAAATGCTAACTTTGGAGCTAACGCTGCCTCCTCACTCATTTGTTTCACACAGGCTCGGTCACACTGGGGTTGGTGACACGGTACAGTATCTCAAAGGACGACCGCTCGAGGCAAAAACAGGTGACGCGGGTGTGGAGACGATCACTCGTGTGGCCAGCAGGCGGAGGAGAAAATAACACAAGGTCAAAACTGAAATGAAAACAGCAAATCCATCCAGCAGCTGTCGGATATCAGAGATTTGATATTGTAGACCACAGTGGGTCAGTGTGTACCGGGACCTTGAAATGAGGAAAGCCTCCGAAAATTGCCCTCAGGGACACTGCAGGTATGTAGGCTACTGGGACATATGGAGGGATGATGGAGAGGACAGGAGAGACCTTTGTTGTTGGTCTGTGTGTGTGCATATATGTATATAAATAAAAACATCTTTTAACTTAGTCACGGGTTAGCTAAGTATGATTAATCATGATTCATTCAAGCTGAAGCCACAAACTCATGCTGGACATTGATGATATTTTAAACTCAAGCTGCTTGGGTCAAAAAAAGTTGCAGAATAAGTAAACTTGTGAGCCTGTGAGGTTAGCATATTTAGTCTGAGTTCTAAGAATATTCCAGGATGACATATAGTCCACAAAATACATATAAACATCACATTTGGAAGATAATTGACAAAGAATTCCTTGTTTCCTCTCTCCTCCCTCTTGTTAAGTTGTATAGAGTTGACCAAACTTGACAGGAGCACGTTTGGTTTTGTAGTCACCGTACAAAGGGCAACAATCGTCTCTCAGAGATGAGGCGCTGAGGCGCACGGTCCTTTGTTTTCCAGTCTGTTTAATCAGTGCAGCTGCGCTGTGTTTCACATCCTGTACTCTCTCTCTCTCTAAGTGCATTAGTGGGTTCATACTTCACCTATGAATGAACTGCGGATTCCCAGTCTCACCGAGTTGTGTTTAATTTACCTTGTCTGCTGCCTATCACTTCATCAAGCCACATTATACAAAGCAATGCACTCCATTTGCCAGTAGCAATGTGAAATCTTGCCCCGCTTCTAGGAAATGTAAAACAAATCACCCGGCATCGAGGCGTAGGCGGTGTTTAAATAACTCCACTGTTTGTTAAGGCACATGTCTGCTCCCTGTGTGTTTCTCCAGTGCCTCACCGGACCACGGCGGCCTTAAATGCCTAGACGTTGGCCAAGCACAGTCGTGGTCGGTGACTCAGCATCCCAGAAAGTCTTCATCAGGTCCTTATTATAGCCTGGACTGAACCAGTTAACAACTGCACGGCCACAGTGGGCCTTGCTTAGGGGAGGAGGCACGACACCATTAAAACCATACTCAATGGCCATTAGCACTGGTTAAAGAGAAATACAGAACATGCCATGCCTACTGTGAAGAATGAAATGAAATCCAAAGTAAAAATACCTCATACGTGCCAAAAAAAAAAAAATCCAAACAGACTTATAAGTCCAACTGGGATCATTGCTCATGAGTCATTCCTATTGGCCCACATATACGGTGACACTCCAACAGAAGCTGCTGATTGGAGCGGAATTCAAATTCAATTCAAGTCAAATGCTATTAAACCATTGTTTCCCGAAGACTGGGTCGCGACCCTCAGGGCCACATACGGCTCAGGTGATGTAGTTGTCAAATTTAAAGTCATTATAATAATAATCTGTAAACCCACATGTAATCCATCACTTTGTTGGCAGCTGTTTTACTCAGACATACTGTATGTGCGCAGTATCATTTTTTAAAGAGAAACTAATTCCCTGCTGGACGGCGGCTGACGATTTTGTCAACGTCAAGCTCCTTCCGTAGATAACAGCTCAGCAGAAGGTGAGTGGTTTCACGGCCGCAGCCGTCACCGCTGTGTTCATTTGTCCACTTTTAACCGCTGCCTCTTCCACGCGGCTCCGTTGCCATATCGATGTTCAGACGGCTCCGAAGGGCTTACATCTATGGAGCGGGTCAAGTCTTGTTTCATTTTTTTAACCCCGAGCTGGGGAAGAAAGGGCATTGATATTCCAGCACAGCACTTCAATTTCACAACATGGATTATCCCTGAAGGAATGCTGGCAATCTAATAGAGCCCAGGACATAAAGGCAGCTGCTGCTCAGCTCCCTGACTGTCCACACCCGGTATACAGGAGCTGCTCAACAATACAACGAAATGGCTCTGCATTGGCTTCATTTAACTGTCACAATGTGTTACCTATAAATTAAAGGGATGTATATTATTCTAGGTTTTAATCACTGGTATTGACGTACGGAGGAGTAACTGGAAGGACTTGAATTCGTTTTTATTCGTTTGTTTTTTTCTATTTGCCATCTGGTCCGACCAGGGTGGATGAAATAATCGCTCATAACAGCATCTCATTTGCACAGATTCACAGCAAATGGGTTAAAAATAGGAATGCGAGGATATTTAAATGTTTGCACAGCTAATTAAGTTGAATATGATGGACTCTGGCTTCATCTGGCGGGTGTGAGAACAAAACCACGTCAGGTGTACAAAGCAACAAATAGATCATTATTGCAATCATCCGTTGGCTGACACCGTGTTTTTGAAAGGAGAAATCTGGCAAACGTGCACCGCCTATTTCATTCCGGCGGATCCGTATCTTTTTTCCCCCATTATAAACGGCAATATGTGCAGATTATTGTTTTGGAATTTTCATTGGAATTATTAACTCCAAACACGGGCAGAAACGCAACTTATAACTCCCCAGTACTCCCTTGACGATTCCTTAGGAAAATTGCTGCAAATTGCTGTTCTTACAAAGCCCCCCAGGGGCCGCTTTTATTGACTATGAAACAATGCCTTCACCAACGTCCCCTTCGCCAGTGCAGATTTACTTCAGTATGTGTGTGCGTGTGTGTGAGGATGTCTGAGTAGGTGTCACACAGCCACAGAGCCACCACTAGGGGGGTGGGTGTCAGTAAACATGTAGAATACAGACGAGAGTCCTGATGCAAACCAGGGTCTAAGTTATGCTGCTTGTGACCTTTGGTGGACTTTGGAAAGATAGATGCTACGCCGGCTATCGACAGAAATTTCTGGCCTGCAGCAGACGGAGCATATTTCTTATGGTTTCCCAGGCACTGCTGGCTGTCTGGGAATGAATAAGTAAGTAGGGCTGGATGAACGAGAGCACACACGCCATACATATACGCTCTTTAATGTATTTGTGCATGGACCCAGTCACTGGTGCAGAATCAATCATTTTAATTTCTGCTCCGATGCCCTTTAAGTGTAATATTAGATCAATGTGTTTGGATTGCCTCACTCGACGGCAGTGAAAGCGACCTGCATCTGAGTGCCAGACTCTTTCACACCAACAGCCAGCCTTGATCTACAGCTCCTTCATCTGTCTGACTGCAGACGGATATCTCTCTGATGGCTCACCCTCTGTTTCTGCAGATATTGTTCTACCTCGGCTCACCACGCTGATTTATCAGCGCTCATTTATCAGGCCCCATCCTGCCATTATTCTCGGTCCGTGTGCTGTCGTGACACGGCAGTCGCGGGATTGGGCGAGGGGAGGCGGGGCGGCGCGTGGGTGGGGCGCACTGAGAACGAAAATGATGAACACTGTGACTGTCATTAGATGCGTATCGGCCGAGCATGAGATTTTCAGCTTGTCTACAGATGCCACTTTGTGCCGTCAGTGAAGGCATTCCTCATCTGGCCGCGGAGTCTCTCGTCTGAACGCTTGATGTGCTCCAACAAAAGGACGTGTAATCACAGAGCATGGCCACACATCCACAGACAACCAGGACCTCTCCTTTCCTGTCTGTTTCCATCACTCACATGCACAGCTCTTAAAGGGACAGTTCACATTTTCCAACCATGAGAGGATGAGGTTATGACCTGAAGCCAACATGACACACACACACACACACCCACACACACACACACACCCACACACACACACACACCCACACACACACACACACCCACACACACACACACACCCACACACACACACACACCCACACACACACACACACCCACACACACACACACACAGTGTAAGCCCTCAACATGCTGAGTGCAGGAAGTTAAAGATTCAGAGACCAGAAGGCGTTTCAGTTTCAGTGCAGTGAACACGGCCGGAAAATAAAATACACTTTGGCAGCCCTAAAAATCGGACTCTGTACATTTGGAATATTTTCAGTATTTTTTTTCTAACACTCTAAGGCTGTACTTTCCCTTTGGCACTCCACTGCACAGTGTATTCCTACACACATAATCCCACAAGTGCCAAAGTAATGTTATACGCCTCTGTTCCTTTCGGCTTGCTTTTTGTCACTCCACTAAAGTTTCTCAACTATTTAGTCTGCTTCACAGAGATATGGGCTTCTCTCTGGTGTAAACAGACTCTCCCCTTCACTGAAATAATCAGACTTAAAAATAAGAATAAAATACTCATAAAGCAGGGGTGTCAAACGCACTTTGACCACCGGCAATATTGGACTTTGAGTTGCCCACGAAGGGCCGGCTGTAACTGCAAGAGTGTCAAAACATCTTCTCCATAACGTACTGATAATTATGTTTCTTTGTGCGTTGCTCTGTTACATCCAAAGTCCTGATTAATCAGGTCATGGAATCTCACATTTCAAACTCTTTCAGGAAATAAAAAAAAAACATCATTACAAAAGGACGGCAGAAAAAAAAAAAGAAGAGGAATTCAAGAACAAGTCAAAAGTTCCTAAAAATATTAAAAATATTTCTTAGGTAATGGAAATAAAGGATTTATCTTTCTTCAGTTGAAGCTCTTACACACACACATCTGCTTTTATCGGAGAATCTCCGTCTTCGTCGGGGCGCCTGAAGGACGCGTCTTGTGTTCTAGTTATTAAAGTGGGACAGCTTTTTAATTATAACATCTGTCCAAGAACTTACGCCGCATTTCTAATATGACGGCCTCAGTTCTGTGGTCTAGGTCAGTAGGTCATACCAGACCTGGTCTATCTCTCTCTCTCTCTCTCTCACCACTGGTCCAAAAGCAGCCC